AATTTTGACTAATTGAATTTTTTTCTTTTATTCAAAAATTATAGGCGTTGGAAGGAAATAGATTGTACATGTTGGATTATCATGACATATACTTACCGTTCCTTGACCGGATCAATGCGCTAGACGGACGCAAAGCTTATGCTACTCGAACCATATTCTTCTTGACTCGTCGGGGCACACTCAAACCAATAGCCATCGAGCTAAGCCTCCCTCACCCAGTCCCGAATCAGCGGTCCAAACGAGTGGTCACACCTCCGGTTGATGCAACCTCCAATTGGGTGTGGCAACTTGCTAAAGCTCACGTTAGCTCCAACGACGCTGGTGTTCACCAACTGGTCAACCACTGGTCAGTACTCAAAACATATGTCACTACACATTTATGTAACAAATAGTGAATATAGAGTTAGTTATTGATATGTTTTATCATTTAATTTTTGTTTATGTAAAGGTTACGGACACATGCGTGCTTGGAACCGTTTATATTAGCTGCGCATAGGCAAATGAGTGCTATGCATCCGATATTCAAGCTATTGGATCCGCACATGAGGTACACATTAGAAATCAATGCATTGGCGAGACAATCGTTGATCAGTGCAGACGGTGTGATCGAAGGAGGCTTCACCGCTGGCTCATACGGCATGGAAATGAGCGCGGCCGCATACAAAAGCAGTTGGCGGTTCGACATGGAAGGCCTCCCCGCCGATCTCATTCGCAGGTATTTTACCTAAACTATATGTTATGTACTTATGTTAAGAGTTAAGACAAAGGATACTATTAGCCTTTGGGTTACTTATTTCACACGTAATTAATTGCATAGAAACTAATTTCTATTAATTTTATTTGTTCAGAGGAGTGGCAGTTCCTGACACAACACAACCACATGGGATTAAACTCCTAATCGAAGACTATCCGTACGCTAACGACGGTCTTTTACTATGGTCGGCTATCCAAACCTGGGTCCGGACCTACGTGGATCGCTACTACCCAAGCCCGAACCAAATCCAAACAGACTCGGAGCTCCAAGCTTGGTACTCTGAATCGGTCAACGTTGGCCACGCCGATCTACGTGACAAAGAGTGGTGGCCGGAGCTAAACACCGTCGACGACCTCGTCTCGATCATCACCACCATAATCTGGCTCGCCTCTGCTCAACACGCGGCTCTCAATTTCGGACAATATCCTTACGGCGGTTACGTCCCAAACCGGCCTCCGTTGATGCGGCGGTTGATCCCCGACGAGTCGGATCCGGAATACGCGAGTTTTATCTCCGATCCGGAGAGATTTTATTTCTCGGCGATGCCGAGTTTGTTGCAGACGTCGAAGTTTATGGCGGTGGTTGATACTTTGTCGACGCATTCTCCAGATGAGGAATATATCGGGGAGAGACAACAGCCGTCGATTTGGACCGGAGATGCGGAGATCGTTGATGCGTTTTATGGATTTGCAGCGGAGATCGGACGGATAGAGAAAGAGATTGAGAAAAGAAACAACGATCCTAACCGTAAAAATAGGTGTGGGGCCGGTGTTTTGCCTTATGAGTTGTTGGTTCCGAGTTCTGAGCCTGGGGTCACGTGCAGAGGTGTGCCTAATAGCGTATCCATATAATAAGACCAATAAAATTTTAAATGGGAAATGTAGAGATCGTTATATGTAAATTTTGAAGATTATAAGATACAGAAAAATTCTATTTTGTCGGAGTTATAAATTAGATATACCATCTCCTCGAATGTATAATGAATAAACGTAGTAATTTTTAACCTTTTTAATTTGCAATGACCCTATGAGAAGCAACATATCTCTTATACAATTGGATTCTCCAAGTTTGGTTTTGGAAGAGTAAATTCGAAGAAACAACTTGGGTCCCAAGAAAAGAAAACAAAGTAGCAGATGCAATGGATAAAAGGAGAATGGAGATTTCCACAAGTTCAGTTTATTATTCTCATGTTCCTTTATTTTTATCTAATGTATTACATGTCAATATATAACTTTTAGAGGAAAAAAAAAGAGTTGCTATGAGAGGCTTTGTTAAAAGAAAAAAGGTTGCTATGAGAGTAGGAATGACATATTTGTACCCTTTTAAGAAGTAGTATAGAGATACATACGCTCAAGAGCCGAGAAAGAAATATACTCCCTCCGTTTCAAATTAGTTGTCGTTTTGGCAAAATGTATCTGCAAATATTTGGATGTATCTGCAATGCAAAACACGTCCAGATACATCCAAATATTTGCAGATACATTTTGCCAAAACGACAACTAATTTGAAACAGAAGAAGTACTCATTATTGAGTTTAACCTAACTTAAACCTCAAGCCATACTTAATCTAGGAACTTTAAGTTTTTTTTTTTGGGTATGAACTTTAAGTTGGGAAGATGATCCCAACACACAACTGTTAAGTTGATTCTGATTCACGACAAAAGCCAGCTAGCGAGTATTTAATCGAGTTAAAGCGTTTTAGTTGCCGTAGTAAAGATAAGACAGCAAAGTATTATCTTCCACCATAAATTTGAGTAAATGTATGATGTGATCAGTGATTTCTCACGTGAAGAATGCGTAGAAGAAACTAGTCTTTATACATTAATGCTTCAATTTGGAATAATTTCGTTATTTTTTCCTTTTCCGGAAATTCGTTTGTTGGTTATTAAAATAAATAATTGAACTAAAAATGTGAGCATAAAAGGCAGCTAGATTGTAAATTTGTTGAAAGCTGCAACACTTAACATGCATGCACTCTGCCACGTTTGAACCAAAATTAAACTAAACAACATTGATTATACAAAGCCGAACCGGACTCAACCGAGATAAACCGAGTCGGTAGACACTTGTTTCGAATTTAAAAGCACACTCACTCTCTCTCTACTCTCTCGCCACATTCTCTGCAAAAGACGGACACTGAAAACAATGGCGTCCATGAAACTCGTTCTTCTCTTTCGTCGTTACCTCTCAATCGTTCTCACTCTCTTTCAAAGACTATTTTCTCGTTTGTTCGATTTCCCGATACTGGTCCAGATCGCCGATTCCTTCTTATCTCTGTATTTCCTGGCTTTCTGCGATCTCCGACCGGTAACCGTCGATCTAGACGACGGAGAAACCACCGTGCATTTCTGGATCTCAGGCCACCGCAGAATCTCTCGCCCGAATCTCGTGATGCTACACGGATACGGAGGAAACTCCAAATGGCAATTCGTTTACCAGGTGTCCGATCTCTCGAAATCGTTTAACCTCTTCATCCCCGATTTGGTCTTCTTCGGGAAATCCTACTCGAAGAACTCGGATCGGAGCGTTGAGATTCAGGCGAGGAGCATCGTCGGAGGATTGAGGAAACTCGGCTGCGTCGAAGGAGGAGGGACGTCGGTGTATTCGATTAGCTACGGCGGGTTCGTGGCGTGTAAAATGGTGGAGATGTGGCCGGAGATGGTGGAGAAGCTTGTGATCGTGAGCAGTGGAGTGGGATTCACGCAGCAGCAGAAGACGGCGGAGATGAAAAAACACGGCGGAGATTGCTCGAAGATGCTTGTCCCGAAAACTCCGATGGATCTACGGATGTTGGTTAAGATCTCGATGAACACCGGTTTAGCGTTCGTCGACTGGGTACCGGACTTTATCCTCTCCCAATTCATCGAGGTAAGCCCTTTTCTGTTTCTGTTTCTGTTATTGTTTCAATTTATTTGCGGATCTGCCCCTTACGTTTTATGTTTGTTAACTAACGAACCAAATGTTTTTGATTGACTTGTTAATGTGTTATATAGGTAATGTATGAGAAAAACCGGCAGGAGCTTATTGAGCTAGCTAAGAATTTGTTGGAAAGAGAAGAGGAATCAGAATTGCCTGTGATATCACAGGTAATGATTTTTTTTTCATTTGAATTAACCTTGATGATGATATTAGTGATTTTAACTCCTTTTCTTAATTATTCTAGTCACTGATGATGATTTAACTTTTATCATCGAGATTAATATTCTAATTATATAGCTGGTATGATGGGTAGCTGTACTTTACACTAGTCTTGTTTGTTTGCTTGCGTTTTTAACTTTTCTATTTTGTTTTTAGAACAAACAACGTGGATATAGATGCTTTATTCCTAATCTACTAATAAAAATAAATAAATTTGGTCACTAATCCGATATTATAATCAATAATTCAGAAAACGTTAATCGTTTGGGGAGACAAGGATAAGGTATTCCCCTTGGAGCATGGTTATCGGCTGCAAAGGTAAACATACACATACATTCCATATTGTTTATTATAGCTCAAAAACCAACAACCATTGAATCTGAATCGCATGAGTCGATCAAAATTTCTATAAACTTATAGTTATGTCGAGGTTAACTCTTTTTTATTTTTTTTTTTTTTTTTTTTGTTTTTGGCAGGCATTTGCAGAGTTCAAGATTAGAGATAATTAAGGGAAGTGGACACGCTGTCAACATTGAAGGAGCAACCACTCTTAATAATTTGATTACTTCGTTTGTCTTAAGTGTTTGATGTCTATTTTTGTATATGTTTCTACGTCTACCAAATATCTACATGGCACTCCTTCATTTAACACATCAAATGCAACAAAGCCAGAAAAAAACAATACAGGATCACTCGTTCAGTCATCAAAGGACTAAAACTTTTAAGCTTAAAAATAAAGTGCACAACTACAATTACAAAGCGAGAAACAAAAACCCACTAAAGATGAAAAAGAAGAAGAAATAATTAGAAAGTCAAACTATGAAAAATGTAACTATAATGTTTGTTTTGCCTATAAGACTCATAAATTATATATGATACATATACAGTGTGACTCCTTATTGCCTCACTCTCTTTTATTGTCTGGTGTTTTCTCCATACATGTGTAAATTCCTGAAACCAAGAAAAGCAAAACTTCAGGAGTCGGGACTTTAGTTAATACCATGAAAAAGATGGTAAATTTTGTTGCATAGAATAATAAAATCGCTTACCAAGAAGATGAACATAGCAGTGAGAGATAGCTCAGGCTTTTTTTTTATATTCAAGTCCTTTAGTAGCGTGTCATATGTTGTAACATGTGAGGACCGGATGCCTGAGAAACCAATTGCTCTGAACTTGGTGATGGTCTTAAGAGATGACTCGGACCATTTGGGTTCACCATCGCTTGTCTAACAGTTTCCTTGGAATTGCTTGCATTCGTCTCCGGTTTTGAGGATTCTAGTAAAGCACGCACCTGGTGACCCCAAAACAAAGAAACTTGAGAGGCAAATTTAAGGCGACTGTATACAAAGAGAGGTAATGAATATAGTTTGGCTTATTACCATTGCAAGTCGCTTCTTGTGAAGATCAGTTGCTACCTGCAAGTTGTTAACTTGAGAGATCAATACCTAGCAGATGCACACTCACATATATATGTTCTAAAATGAAAATCACTTACGGTTTTTGTTTGGTGTTTATCCTCACTAGAGAATCCAGGAATTGTCAAGTGCAAGTTTTTCTCTGCAAAATTTACAACCCAGCAAACAGCAAAATGAGTAGCTACCAATAATCCACACGAAACAGAGCTTGAGAGATTTACAAACCTAGGTGGAGTAATATATCCTTAGGCTCCAATATGGATGATTTACGATGTTTAGACAAGCTACATGCAAAAGAAGTCACCTGCAAATCAAGTATAGGTTAGATAGAGATAGTTTTCCACAAATATGTATAGTGAGAAAACTAAAGGTTGATATATTAGCTTCTAACCGAATCAAGGAAGTCATCCGCTACCTCCAAAAGGAGGTCTTCAACATCAGGATCCAATTTACCATGTACATCCACCTGAAACATCATGATGCAACAGGATGAGACATATTTTCAAACGACGACGAAAAGAAGATGATATAAACAAGCTGAAGAGTTCAATAGGGACAACAATCACCTGCGAAACCAGATCCTGTATCTTTCTTTTACCAAGGAGTTGGTTTGTTGCTTCTGTTCCCTGGCTTGAACTACCACCTGGCGTTGTTGTACCAGATTGTGTAGCATCTGGCTGTGAACCCGTTAAGCTAACAGATTTCTGTCCTGCATGACTCGACATCCTTGGAGATGGCTGTTGTTGATTTATTGGCATTTGCTGCTGCTGCTGCTGCATCTGCTGTTGTGGCTGCTGCTGTTGCTGCATCTGCTGAAGTTGTTGCTGTTGATGGGACTGGTTCATCTGAGCCTGGCCTAGTTGTGATTGTTGCTGCTGTTGGTGTAGTATCTGTGATAGTTGTTGCTGATTCAAGGACATATTTTGGTGCAGCTGAGCAGATGGCAATTGCTGCTGCTGTTGCTGTTGTAAGAGTAGAGCCTGCCTTTGACTCTGTTGGAGTCGGAATGATGGTGAATTGGGGCCCGACATTTGCTTCAGCCATTGCTGCTGCGTCAAGGAGTTTTGCATCATACCAGCTTGTCCATTTTGGGCCAGTCCAGATAGCTGAGGATTCATGAATGCGAGAGACGTTGTTCTCTGGAGGTTCTGGACCTAGACAGGGGATTTCAAAAAGATTCAGGTAATGCAACAACAAGCCAAAAGCAGTGAAAGGGTCCAACACGAGAAACCATTTAGGTGACGTGTATCTATGAGCGATAAGTTAACAAGTAGCTGATGGACAAGTTCACAATTTGAAAGAAATTAACAGTAAGTGAGCAATCAATTAGGAAGACTTTGTTTACTTCATACCTGAGGAGAAGTAAGAGCGTTTTGCTGTGACAATTGCTGTCTCATCTGCGCCGGGTTGATTCGCTGCTGAGCATAGAGAGCAGGATTGCCTCTCATTTGGGAGCTCAAATTCAGTGATCCTCCTATCATTCCCATAGCTTGCATCCCCTGCAACTGTTGTCCAGAACTTCCTGGATGAAACTGCGAACCTTGAACCAGGCCAGATTTCTGCCTCGGCTACAAGGGAAAAGCTCATTTGTCTCAGAATAAAGAAAGTGAATTTATTCACAAATTAGAAGAAAAACTGCAGTTTATAACTCTATATCACCAACCAACGACGATCACAACATTTTGGTTACAGCTAGAAGATTAGATACAATCTAACACTCTTTCTACAGGTACCAGGAAAACGAGAACCACAAAAAGAAACATAATTTAAAAATGATGATCTCAATTGAATCAATAAATGGAAACAGAGTAAAGTAAGAATGTGTTATACCGAAGCTGCCAATAATTGGGGTTGAATATTCAGCTGGGCTGCTCCAGATGCACCGTTGAGCATTGGCAAGTGACCGCTTTGGCCAACCAGAGCTGCTGCGCGCGACATGTTAGGGTTACTCATCTGCTGGTTCTGCTGCAAATTTTGCTGGCTCTGCTGAATCGAGCCCGAGCCACCGAAGTTCATCGTCCCGTACAAGCCAGCTTGCTGCCTCAAAACGTTGCCGTATTGGCCTTGATGCTGCTGCTGGATTTGGTTCAGCCGAGAAACAGAAGGAGATCGCTGAAGAGATTGAGCTATTTGGTAATTCGACATTGGAATCTGCTGCGGACTCATATGCTGTTGCTGAAGAATCTGCTGCTGTTGCTGAGATAATTGCGGAATCGGAGATGAAGAGATTTGTTGCATAATCTGTTGTTGTTGTTGAGGCAATTGCTGATTTTGCTGCTGCTGCAGCTGCTGAGTTTGAACGAGTTGCTGGCTCTGTGTTTGCTGATCCAATGAAGAAGACGGGTGAGAGAGAGGAGACGGGGATGGGATCTGAGCTCCAACGGCTGGGCTGGGAGTAGGATTCGGAGACGCGATGTTCGGCTGCGAATTGCTATTACTGTTCTGAATTACACCTTCGGGAGTCGTTACTGGCATCGCCGGAGACGCCGCGGAATTCACAGAATTCGAAATCGGAGCTGTCATGTTTTGTTGCGATGACGGTGGAGGTGCGGAAGATGCAGGGGAAGGTTCCATAGGATTAGGAGACTGGAGAGATTTCGGTGACAAAGCCGATGAAGAATTTGCTTCCGCCATTAGAAACCAGGTGTGAAGGTGTATTTGGTTGAGGGGTTTTTGTCAATTTTCTCTCATGAAATCGTAAATTTTCCCCAGAAAATATCTATTTTTTTGTTTTTAATCTCAAGGTGGGAAAAGAGAGTAGAGTAATCTGAACCGTACACGTCAGCAGTTTTAACGGAAGATGATCGAGAAGAATAGATACTGTACTGTGTGTTTCATTATTCCAGACTTCTCTGATTCTCACACAACCTGCTTAACACTTTTTGTACTTGTTGATCATTTCATTTATATTATTATTTGTAGCAACTTTTTACCTATTTCAATTTATAAAACATTGCGGTGAACTACAAAATTCCGATGATCAATTTTTGTCAACAAATTATACAAAAACATTCCAAGTTTTTATGTATAGGAGACCACTACTTAGTTGGATCAAAAATTATTTATCTCTTTTTTTGTGGAGTACTAATTTGAAATCCTTTCAAAGATTACCAGACTAATATAATAGATCCCTATAATCCGGCACCATGAAACTAGAAAGAGAATTAATCATTAGACCAACCATCAAATCTCACAGCTATACAAATACAACAAAATGCGTGCTTTCATATCATAAAACTATATAATTTCCCCAGATACAACACTAACAACTTACTGCATCGAGTTTTGGACTGAACGCGCGCGAGAGCGATTTTACTACATACTGTATTACAAGGCACAAAGTCCCTTAGAGTTGGCAAAAAAGTGTTTGCGGCGGATAAGCTCCGGTTTTCTTGGACCGGCTGAGAGAAGACTGGTTAACAGAGACGGAGGACCGGTGAATTTGGTTTGCACCAATTCCCTCACCTTCATATACCCGTCCAGTGTCATCAGCTCCAGAAGCTTTCTACAGCTCTGAGATTGAAAGAACACACAGAGTGTTATCATAGAGCAAACACAGATCGTTTATAGACACAAGACAAAGAGCTTTAAGAGACCATAAATCAGTTTTAGAATATGAAAGGAGAAGGAAGGATTGTATATTACCTGAGGATTTAGTACGTCCATTAGGTTCACGATCTCGTCCTGCCACAAATGAAAATGTTATAATTAGTATCTACAGAGAGCTTGAAACCGTAGTGGTATTGATTTAATATTGGGTGGAAAAGGGAGAAGTATTTACCTCTGGAATACCGGGATTTTGCATCACGGTACCAAGAACACGGCGAACAAGTCCATCAAAGACAGCTATGTTTATGGACCCATCTGCGTTTACCCATGGATATATAGGCACAGGTGAAGCTGATTCCTTTCTTTCACCCATTCCAAAAGTAACAGATGGAGCTTTGATAGATGCTTCGTGCAAACCGCTTGTTGGAGCCATTTCAGGAAGGTTAAGAATCGTAACCTTGTGAACGCTGTTCCCAGCAACGTGCTCTCGCTCGTCCTGCGAAGTTATGCAGATGCTAGAGACTTCGTTTGACCTATGTTCCACAAAAGCTCTCTCTAGGTAATTCACTGGTAAAGGCCGCTGAACATTTTTGTCGGAAGTTTTGCCCTCCTCCAATGTCAAAAAGTACTTTGATCGGTAGAAGGAATGGACAACACGGGCAATGTCATACCCATTTACCTGAATGTTAAGAAAGTTCCTTGTTAAAAAAAAAAAAATGAAAATGAAAAGCTTTCGAAATACAGGAAAGTAAACTAGCAAACCAAGCATAGCCAGCGTTAGTCTTAATAAAGGTAAAACTATTTGTAAAATAAGAGATGATAAGATATAACCTTCAAAGCTAGCCCAAATGTCTGAAGTACATCTACAACGCAATCACAAGTTTCCTTGTCTGCAGATGAACACGCGGCAGAGGTTAGGAACAAAACTGAAGAAAGTAACTGAAACATTGCAAAAGTATAAGGCAAATGCTTACCTGGAATGTCAATAAGATGATGGACTTCTTCGATGCTCAGACCTTGGTCACCAGCCTTCTGAAGGGCATTGGAAACGGTTTCGAAAACCTCGGGGCTGAATAAACTCACTTGCTCGTCTGCAGATTTGGCCGTAACAAAACTAGCATAACTGGCCATTGCTTGCCAGGGAGAATCACCAGGGCTGCCTGGTATGACAGTAGCATCTGTAGAGTTTAAAAGTTCCTTCATATCATCAGATTCACAGCCACTGCTTGTTTCTCCCTGGTTGAAGAGAAGTTCACCAGTGCGTGAGGCATCATCTTTAAATAACTCTATTGCGTTAGCTGTTGGCAGGATTACACGACGAACAGATACTGCTATACCAGGGAAACCCTTTTCCTTTCGGAAGTTGATTTCACCTTCGCCGAGTAGCTTTAATTTCTTAGCACTATCAGCTTCAGATTCTTCTATGTCATCAGCTCTACGTTTTAGACCTCTTCGATCTCCAGGTTCTCCAACACCTTCCTCAGGTAAGGATACAGATATAGCGAGTTCACCAGAAGAAACCAATGAGAAGAAATTCAAAACATCGCCACATTGCAGATCTGAAGTAAGAGCGACTCCCCCAGCCATTAGGTCTCTTTCATGTTCGAGAAGCCAACTGGAGAACTTGGCTGCTCTTTTCCCAGTATTAACCGGGAATGGTGACTTTGAGATACTATGCAAGAAGTTCTGAGAAAGGACAAATGGCTGTCCACCACTTCCACCAACCTGGAACGTTTTCATAAAAACAATGGCTTTCAGTTTTCTTTTACAAATACAATTATTAAGTTCATCGAAACAAATAAATAAAATTAGACCGAAGTGAAACATCAAAGTGAGGTGAAGAAAACTGTTTCTTATTCACCATCTCATCCAAACATCAAGCATGCACGCAATGTGGCTTTGACAGCAAAACTCAACCAACAGAAGGAGGAAAAGATGATATCCTCACAAAAAATTAAATATGTTTTGAAATAGAGCTCACATAGACACTCATATGCCTCTTCATAAAAATCGACAAGCAAATAATAAAACCCAGAAGCCAGCAATTTTAACCCTGCAATAGGAAAGTCATAGGTAGTTTTACCAGGAACTTTTTGTCTCGGAGGTAGCTATAGGCGGTGAAGAGGTCTCTCTCTGAATATCGTCGTAAGGTATCTTCCAGCAAATTTGGCATATCAGGTGCAGTAGGCATGCTCAGAAAGACAAGCTTTAACAGTTCTACAGCAGTCGAAACTGCCAGAGATTTCCGTACTTGTTTACTACCATCGTCTTTTTCATCTAAAGGCTTAAAAGTTTGATGAAGACGATAATGTCCAGATCGCTGAGATGTATCTTTATCTTGATCCACAGAAACATTATGAATGTCCTCCGAGTGAATTGCAGGTGGAACCATTTCATTCCCCTGCAAGTTCATATATTTGGTTTATCATAAATTGCCAAAAAGAAAAACCATTGAAATGATCAAGGTGAATGAGATGGCACATGTTTCCAGTAAAATTAATGGACTGCTGTAGTAATAAAAGTGAGAAAGTGAGGTAAATTAATTGTAGGGAAGCTGTCAAACAAAAGAAAAATAAGCTATAAGGATGCACCTCATCGATAATATCTCTGTTTGACCATTCCCGAGAGCCAGGTCTTGTTCGTTTACGGGCCACCAGTTTAGCCATCTTCTTGAGCTCGAGAACATCATTAAAGGCTTGACTAATACTCGGTTCATTGAAGTCATCCCATATTTCTACATCAGAAGAAATATCTTTACCATGCTCAACACAATCGGAATCCATTCCGCCAATTGCCTGGGATAAATATTTAACAGAAACATGTGGGCTGTTGCTCTCGGGCAAAGACTTCTGTTTCATCTCCAAATGTTTTGCATAACGCTCACTGAGCAGACTGCAAAGTGTCATGACCGCCTTCCGAAGTTTATCATTCTTCATCAATATTTGAACCCGTCGCTTGCAAGCTGAATGAGGTGCAGGCAGTAGTTCTCGAATTGAGGCCCAATTTACTCCATGAAATTTTGCCCCAAGAGCTGCGCGGTGTCTAACATATTGGCTCAACAATTTCCTGACCAGATAATAGTTGTGTCAGTGGTGTAAACCAATCAGATGTAATACACTATTTTAGTTAGGAGAGTATCTAAAGAATGAATGTATGAAAACTCGAATCATATGGAAATTAATTGTCTAGGCTCAGTAAAGGAACTTCTGAGGTATTAGCCCTCCTCCGAGGAATGAAGTCCCTGAAGGGGGACTTCTAAAACTAACATTACGTTGGACGTTAACAACAAGGACCAAGTTGATTTATGATCGGCATTCATATAAACAAATACTACTGAACTTTCATTGGTTGTGAGAAGCTTACCTGTCATCCTCATCTGTCCACGAAAATCTTTGACAAGGTGTTGATGTGGTCTTTGCACTTGCATACCGGTTGATGATGGAAGAACACTGGCCTTCATCTTCAGTAAGATCCCTTACGTCTGCAGTTTCCTTTTGATTGTCCTCGTGCATCGGAATGGGGGTTTGGTCTTCTTGTAATGACTTAAGATAATTCTCACTATTTGAGGCATCAATAGCATCAGAATTTAGAACTCTCTGTCCATCTACTCTGGTGGATCTGACATCTTCTCCTGAAGTCTTTATGGGAGTTGCTCTTTTTCTTTTCCCAGAAGATGAAGAAGGGCTATTTTCTACAGCGAAGGTTTTATCTTTTGATTTTGGTCTCACGCGTCGTCCATGCTTCACATGATAGACGTGCATTACCTGGTGTATGCAAACAAAACATATAAGATACCGCCCCCAAAAAATTGATGAGACCTTTAAACTGAACTTCAATTAGCTTCATGGTGAGTGTTTTCAAGCTAAAACATCGAAGAAATTCTCAGTCGGCAAGTCGGCATAAACTATTGGCCAAACTATCACCTGGTCTCAAATATTTAGGCAGGTGACCTAGACAATTTAAACAATAAATACCTGCTCTAAGGTCAGGTTCAGATCCTTAGCAATCTTCTCACACTCTTTAAATGAGAGTTTTTCGTTCTCATCAGCTGCAATACGCTGTAAGAGCTTAGCACGCTGTTCTGCTGTCATGACATTACTTGAGGCCCAAGAGCGGAAACGGAAAACCTAGAAGAACTGACAGTTAGAAACTGTTTTCTCAATAGCTAGCATAACAGGCAATTAAAAATTATCATCACAGGAGAAGTTACCAGATAGAAATATACGTGTAACATGCATACATATATTAAGTAGGTTATAATGTTTTTTTCTATTTCTTTCATTGACAAATATATACTCGACTGTTGTATTTGTATATATATTGCCACGATATAAAAGATCAAGCTTTATACCTCTTGAACAGCAGATCCCGGAAATGCTTGCTTAGCAGCGCTGTGATCGGCAACAGCATAGCAATATTCTAAAGTTAGCCAATATTCATCAACAGCATCTCTATTTGATAGAATAAAGTCATGCCGAATTCGTGGACGAAAATCAAGAGACACGAGATTGGGTGTAGCGGCAACAAACACAGGTTCCTCTATATAAGGCTTAAGCTCCATTGCATGCGTTAAATTGGCATACTTCTCCTCAATGCCATCGCTTCTGAGTCTATTACTTACCATTTGAATCAACTACAAAACAAAAATAGGCACAGGCAATAGTATCAATCCTTTCTTGAACAGCACAGTTTTACGAAATATGTAGTGAAATCTGGTACTTGAGATGCCATTTAATTATGAACATTACCCTTAACCGGCGTAAAATATCAATAAGCATTGATAATCTACCAGTCGCAGAAGTATCCATGAGAAGCTTATACTCTGCGGTAGGAAGCTCAGAAAGACGCACAACCTCTTTGCATTTCTTCATCATGTCATCAGCTTTCTGAGTAGATCCAACAACTTGTAAAAATAAATCGAGTGGCATGGCTCTAAAAGCATCTTCAAGTGCAAATAAATTCTCAAATTTACGATCATGTGAAGAAGAGAAGGCATTGTCCCAGCCAGGTAAAGAACTAAAATAGTCCCAAAGGAAACAGTGTAGCAGCTTCACACGAACCATCTTTGCAAGCACAAACCCATTGGCTCGCATGGCTCCTGATTTGCTAGCTCGCGAATCCACATCCACATTAGTTTGACCTCTCTGAATGTCATTCAATATCGGAATTGCCTCGTTGCTTTTCCTCTTTGATGAGTTCTGGCCACGGAGTCCTAGTTCAAAAGACCTAATCCTATCATGAATTTCACCAACTATATCTGGAGTCCATGTCTGAGCAGATGGATGCAAAACTACCAAATAGTTACGACTCCGACCACAATTAGTTACATTTGGGACACTAAGGTTCATGCATTTGCAGAGCCCTTCTTGTTGAAGCCTGTTTAGAATTCTGTCAACGGTTTTCCTATCCACCTTGGAGCTCCTGTCCTGCTCAAGACTGCGAAGCCATTTGTGTAGCTCAGCTCTCAAAAAAAACTTCTGATCCTATGACCAGCCAAGAAAGAAGAAACAACTAGTCAGTTGAAACGAAAAAGGAGACAAAAAAAATATGGCAAGCAACGTGGAAAAAGGCGAGCAGTATGTACATTCAAGCGCTCAAGTATTCTCCGCTCTCTTCGAGCGTTTTCAACAGTGATCGGCTGAGGCTGATGCACTTTTGGTTTAGCCGGATTCGATAGAACGAGATGGTTCATTTCTGACATATCCAAATCAGGGGACCCCATTGCAACATCAACAACCTTATCACCATTCTCATGGAATGATTCTTGTAAGTTACGACGCGTAAGCACATTTCTTCTTTCGGAATTAGATGCCGAACAATCGAGAACTCCCGAATTGTTTTCAGAATCAGTTAACGTTCCAGGTGTAGCAACGTGGAGAACTCCTGAGTTGGTTTCAGAATCAGTTAACCTTGCAGGTGTAGCAAAATCAGCATCAGAAACTGTAAGACCGTGTTCGATGAAGGTCTGGGCCAATCCACTAGCATCATGCGGTGTGCCAAGATCATTACTTGGTAGGTTATTTTCCCTGCTAATATTTTCAGCTTTATCAGGAAACAGATCAGTAGACTCGGACCCTGCATTACGAGAAGTCCAAACGCGAAATACTCTAGTCTTTTTGTGGCTTTCTGCTTGTAAATGCATCCCGACTCTTGAACAAATACTATAAAGCCGAGAATAGCTCTTCTTCTTATCAATTCCAAGTCTTTCGCATACCTGGTAAAAAATAATAATTTAATACACATATACAGCCTCCCATATTTTCAAAATTTTCAGAAAAAAATCATTCAAAACTTTAGAAAGACCAAAAAAAGAGTAAGACTCTATCAAGTAAGTTAATTTCTCTAAAGAACTGTAAGCCAAACCAAACAAATGAATACCTCCATCACAGCCAAGCCTTTAGATCCTTCAGCATCAACCATATCATAAATTTGATTATCTACTGCAAGCTCCAAAGTTTGCTCCGTTTTCTGAATACTCCTTCCGAATTTCAGGAATTGTTTTTTCCCAGAGTATTTAAAATCATTCGCTGAAAATCTTTTTAACAAACGGAGGCATCGTTCAACCTGCAGTAATCCACATGAAAAAACAGTTTTATATCGAAACAAAACAGAGCAGAAATGCTAAATAACGGCAAATGGCCATCATATGTAGTGACATGTATTCAAATGATGGCATGAGATGCAGATGATAGTTCACCTTATTGTTCACCACAGCATCAAACTCCTCTGCTACATGAGAATCTGTCAATCGGCGACAAACCTGATGTTATCCCACAAGGAGATTCAATCAGAAACATGCTTCAACCAGAAGAAAAAAAACGTTGAAAGTCTGGTGGATGAAAAGTAAGAAGACAGAAAAATATATATTACACTTTTCCAAGCTCTGTGCCTTGAATGTGATCCCACATAACCAAGGTCTATCTTAATGTCTGAGACGACTAGAACCTGCACCACAAGAACATGATTATAGAGCTAGAAAAGATCCAAAAAAAAAGAAAGAAAGATTTGGAATTCACTAACCTTCTCGTTAGCTTCTTCAAGCTTATCACAAATTGCCTGCATTGCTGGTAGAAAATCTTTAATGAGCGTATCCTCTTTTGTACTCTCAGAAACCTGACCATCTCCGTCGGCAGTATCCTCATGCTCCTCATGCTCCTCTTTACTAATTTCAAACCTCTGCTGGGAACCCAAAGGCTTGGCATAACGGCTTAAGTATATCATGTTGGTGCTAACGCAAGAGGTGGTTTTGGAATCTCCTTCACCATCAACTTCCTTTCTTCTCACGATTGCTGGTTGCTTAACGATTAAACCTCGAGACTCAAGCTGCTTCACTATATAAAAGAAGTTCCTCCCTTCGATACCAAACTCTTTAGCAAGCAGATTCTGTGCAACGCCATTGACTCTGTATCAACAATCACTATAGTTACAGTAATCGCAATATACAAGTTTCAATTTGCAGCCAAAAAGCTTACCGCGCAACGGCCAGGCGCTCGAGAACGCGACGCTGAATTGCGGAGATGGTGGTGTTATTGGACTGAGCGTCGTACAAGCCGACGAAGTTACCTCGGAGCTTCTCATTCGCGACGATCCTCAAATCGAGTGTATGAGCATCTTCCAGCTGCTGAATCGAAGCGTCCGACGATCCGTACACAGTGTTCTTCGCCTTGAACTGGAGCTGAGGGATCGATAGCAGATTTCTCCAGACATGAGCCTTGACGGAAGGGGATAGAGGAGGAGGAGAGAGCCGTGACCAGAGAGAAACTAGAGGGATCCCTTTATTTCCCTGACAGCAGATTTCCTCCAGTGCAGTGCATACAATGGAGTCCATCTCACCGTCCGCTGTACTCCGGTGAGTTAGGTCAACGGAAAATTCCCTGCCGGTAAATAATAAATTAGTCAGCCGATCTCCCGGCGACACGAAAAATCTCGCCGGTGAGTTTTGGGAATTTATAGATTTGGGAGTTAGGCGATGATGATAATGGCGGGATCAGAGGACGATCGAGAGAAAGATATTCCGAGTTCCTGGTGCCGGGATCGATTCGTAGAGCTGCGAACAATTTAACAATTACTAGGTAAATTTTTGTAAGGGGTGCGAGGAGAAAATGACAATAGTGCCCCTATGTCAATAGGTTGACCTTCACTCATTTGGTTAAACTACGTACCGTTTTATTTCCACTTTCAACGACATGCTGTTCAGCTGAATTAGACGCAAACAACAGCACGAAACTTTCCGGGTTCGGTTCTTATATTCCGGGTCGGAATGGTTCGATCCAGATGTCTGGCTTCTCTAACCTTCTCTGCAAAATTGAGATTCAGAGCAAGTACAAGCATAAAAAAAAGATCTTTTTGGGAACACTCGCAAAAATATCTGTCTCTAACTATTTGCCTACACAAAACAAGTAGATACTTTACCTTTTTTTTTTTTCATTCTCATTTTCACGGTATCCAATAATTGTTATCACTATAAATCATTGGTAAAAAGGAAAGGATCATTCTTTGTTTGTCTCCCGAGGAAAAAAATATCTCGATTTCCATCTGCTATCTGTCATCTGAGCATTTCAATTCTGCTTCCGAAGGTATGGAAACTAGATCGGAACTCTCTTTTCAATTCTCTGGGTTGTCTAATTGTATTCAAAGTTTTGTCTTCCTTAGGGTTGATAGGTATGCATTTGCTTGGTTTCTGTGTCTTTATGAATAATTGAGGATTGCGAATCTTGTCTAATTCTGTTTCTACTTTTGTGAAGTTTGTCTCGTTTAAGGCTTTATCTGAAAACAGCTTTTTACTCCTACCTTTATAGATCTCTTTCCCCTTAGCTGATAAGAACAGAATCCTGACCTTTTCAGCTGAATTGTGTTGGGATCTTGTCTGAAATTGAGGTTTTTGATATTGGATTGTAACTGGAAAAGTCTGTATTTTTAGAATCTTATGTGAGATCAAGAGATTAGAGCTCTGAAATTAAGGTAGAGTCAGGTCAACGCATGAAGAATAAATCTGTGTATTGTAATTGGTCAACGTTTTCTCCAAAAGATGTGTCTTTTTCTGTAAATCCAATCCCTTTCTTGGCTTTGACATGATTGTAACTATATTGCACTATATTGCGTTTCAGGGGAAAAAAGATCAAACAAGATTTTGATCTTGGTTGAGAAACCGGAAATGGAAGGAGACGTGTTTTCAGGATTTGGAGAAAGGCACAATATAGATGGGAAGCTGTTGCAGAGTTTCCAGAAAAGCTTTGTGGATGTTCAAGACATTTTGGATCAAAACCGGTTACTGATCAACGAGATCAACCAGAACCATGAGTCGAAACAACCAGATAACTTGGGTCGAAACGTGGGTCTGATTAAAGAGCTTAACAACAACATCAGAAGAGTAGCTAGCCTTTACGGTGATCTCTCTCATTCTTTTGCAAGGACAGTGGATGCTTCATCAGAAGGTGAATCCAGTGGAACTCTGAAGTCTGATGGCAAAGCTAACCAGAAGAGATTTAGATCCGGTTAGTATATAATATAACCAAGAACATCAAAGCTGATAATCGTAGTAGATTCATATTCAAGACTCGGGAGCTAATTGATTGAGGAGAAAGAAGGGAAGAATGTATTATCTACATACGTTTCACCATGTTGATTTTCAGATAAAGAGAGTTCTTAATTATTTGCTGGTTTACTGTTAAAACTCTAGTTCTTCAAAACCAAATTGAAGAAACTTGTTGTAAAGTTTACACATTTCGGTTTATGATTGTTCTTCTCTCTTTGGTCTATCCATTGATATCATTGTGGTAGATTTGTGTAGAGCCTGTGATTCAAGTTCAAACAATGCGAGATTTGCATTGGTGTAGTTTTTGACTTTGGTCCAAGACGACACGTAATCTAAATCTGAAAGTGAAAGACGGCACGCAGTTGTGGTGCACGAGAGTCGGGACGGAACGTAGTTGGCTCTTTTTCGGCAGATTTTTAGTTATTTACCGACGTGGAAGCATCTGTGAGGTTCCCGCAAAACTATGCGGACCCCAATTGGCATTCTGAAATCGAGTTACTGAAAAGCTCTGGAATCCGGACCTGTATTGCACTGTGTACTAGGGGCCAAAAAAAGGTCGAAAGTAGCGAGCCAAACAAAAAAAGAGCAGAACACAATTGTTTCCAAATTTCCGACCTTTTTTGCTTAGTCAAGAAGCTTCTCCTCCGAAAATCCTCTCGGAGTGAAACTTCGAGCTCACCGGGACGTTTAGTATTCTCTCCGTTCACGTTCTACTGTTCCTGGTTACTCTCGCGCGCACTCGTCACTGGATTTCGGTAACTTTTCATATTCTCTGTCCTGAAATTTCATTATTTGCTTATTGGGTTTGTTTGAGTCCATGTGTTTCGAGTTAAAATCAGTAGAATCTTCTCAAAAACTTGATTTTTAGGACAGTAACTTGCAAATTCCATTATAATTTGAAAAAATAGCTCAAATTTCAATTCAGTATTTCAAATAATTTCATTATTTGCTTATTGGGTTTGTTTGAGTCCATGTATTTCGAGTTAAAATCAGTGGAATCTTTCTAAAAACTTGATTTTGAGGACGGTAACTTGGAAATTCCATTAGACTTTGAAAAACGTAGCTCAAATTTCAAATCTTTAACTATTTTGAATATGTACTGTATCTGTGGCTCTCTTAGAGGTTTCCAAGGGTGAAGCTAGAATTTTGAGTATCGTGTGATAGAGGGTTTCTCGTATGCTTGATAATGTATTGAACAGAGTAGGCTAATTTGCTTATTCTCCTTTTTTTTTTGGTTCAGTTTGTGCGTTTGAAGTTGCATTTGGTAGATTGACCTATGGGACCGCTGTTTGGTTCTGTGGAAGACTATGGAGAGATGTTTCAAGACAGTATTGCTCAGACAAGATGCGCATCACTTTCCTCAACAAACCAAACTGGAAATCCTGTTGTCTACAAGCTTGTTCGGGTATGTTTATCTCAGATGTTTTATGCTATTCCTGGAAGTTGAGAATTCTGACTAATTCCACTACAAGTTTTAGCCTTTTCAGTTTCAGTATCTTAAATTGATATTGGTTATGCGAATCAATTATTAGGTTGCACAAGACGGGAGATTAGTTCCTGCAACCGATGAAGAAATGTTGGAGGTCAAGGACTTGCTTGAGAACAACGAGAATGATATGCCTACTGTACCAGATCCTGGACAGACTGAGGAGGACATTCTTGATAATTGGTCACCTTCTCAGTTTCTGCAGCTAGAAAGTTTTGATGGTTCGGTCACAATCATTCTAAGCATATATTATACAGCTTTTTGTTAGTCCAAGTCGTCTGATATGCATGAAAAATGGTGCTTATTGGATTACTTGCAATGTCTTTCTTAATATATTTTCCCTTATCCAACTCTGTTATTGAATCCAGGTTTGTTCCAGTCGGAAACTGAAGAAGCATACACAGAGAATTTGAATTCTCGTCTTGAGGTCTGTCCTCTTTCTTCAAATTCTATAAACAGAACTTTCTACTATTGTTTCTCTTGCGATTTAACTCCACCTTTTGAAACTTCTGCAGTTTAAAGAGGAGTTGATGCATGGATCTCAGATGCTTTCTACTCTTCCGGATACCGAATTTAAAAGTTCCAGTGAGTTGGTTGCAAATGAGGAACTAGTCCAGTCCGAAGTTTTGCTGCAGGAGCCTAATCGTTTTTCATCAAATGGATTGAGTATGGATCAGTCTATGGATGTGTCACCATTCTCGGATGCTACATGTAGCCCTAAAGAACCTGCATCGCCAGCTGCTGCCTCAAAACCTGAATTTTCTAGAGATGCAGGCGAGAGATGCTTGAAAAACCTTTCGATTAAAGCATTGCAAGAAACATTCAGAGCCACGTTTGGTCGTGAAACTACTTGCAAGGACAAACTCTCCCTCAAGAGGAGGATCAAGATGGGACGGATCAATACACGTGTTGTTCCGACAACTAGTACACTGACAGTTGATGATAACAACCAGATTGGTGGAGAACAAAATATCTATAATGATACGGATGATGCTTTTAGCAAGGTTATGGTTGATGAAGGAAGAGCTAATCACTGCAAAGATTCACCATCTAGTCCTGATTGCATAAAAGGAGATTCAAATGATTTCAGGCATAGTCCTGTTGAAGCTTCTGTGGACCATTATTCTGGAAATGAAGATTATGATGGTGAATATAGGTCTGCGAAAAGAGCTAGGAAGCCTACAAGGAGATATATTGAAGAAACTTCGAAAATCAATGAAAAGCAGCAGAGCGATAAGTCACCGATGCTTTCAAAAGATGAGAAGTCTATTAAAGTCGCTTCTTCAGGAGGGAGAGTTGTTGCCACCAGGATGGTATCCATTTCTGGTTCCAGAATTGAGGTCCCTTATGTTTCTCATGCGAGGAGAAGCCGTCCGAGAGAAAACATAATGGCTCTTGCGGTATTTCTCTTCCTTATTAATGCTTCTCATGATCCTTATATACTCACATTAGTGCTAGATCTGTTGCTAATGTTACTCACTGGGATAAAAATGTTAAACAAGTAATGATCTTTTCAGTTTCTCTTGGTGCTGTCAAGGTTATTACAAGTATAACATAGATTATCTGAACATTTTTTTGTAGAAATTTCATTCCAGTTCATGGGAGCTGAGCAATGACGTGCACAAATCTGTTTCTGGACCTGTCAAGCAAGAAGTAAGATCAGTTTATCTTTTGTATAGCTTCATCAACTCTTGTGGCTTTTATCTATCAAAAGAATCTCTTAAACTTTGAGGAAGCGTTATGATATTTTGGATGGATTTGACTCTTAGTATGGTACAGTTGCTCATTGCGTTCTTGTTTGGCAGATGCAGTTAGATATTAATCATCAGACGGACAAGGACTATTCAAAACCTAATCTCTCTGAGGTGGATGAAGACAACATGGAGCCAGAGGACATAGACTCTTCTGGAGATAGCTCAGATGATAATAATAGTAATAATAATAATGGCGTTGATCTATCAATCCCTAGAAGGAAGCATCATCGAGCTTGGACTCTCTCTGAAGTTACAACACTAGTGGAAGGTGTGTCCACGCATGGAGTTGGGAAATGGTCTGTGATCAAAAGTCGTTCAGGTTCACGATTCGCGCATCGTTCCGCAGTAGATATCAAGGTTGCTTCAACTTAACTATTCAAATTCTCTCTTCTCAAGTTTTTTTTTTAATTCCTTTTTGTTGTAACTTATAAGCGTCTCTTCTGTGATAGGACAAATGGCGAAATCTACTGAAAGCAAGCTTTGCTCAGACTGCTTCAAACAGAATGGTAAGTACTTAGTAGTTACTTCCACATGTTTTTAACTTAAAAAAACAGAATCAGATAAACAGTATGTATAACTGACTTCGGTTTTAGATTTAACCGGTGAAAGAATGATTGTGATTTTGCAGAAACACGGGCCTATTCCGAGTAAGATTCTGTTGCAGGTAAGAGAGCTTGCTCAGAAGCAATCACATGCAAGCAAGGCTAGATTCGTGAAGGGATCAAGAAACGGTTTCTTGTAGCTAAGTTTTTTGTGGTATTGATATATATTGCCGCGAAAAATGTGAGATTATTTATAACTCCTTTTCTTTTGGTTTTGGTTTTGGTTTTTGGGTAGCTTTTATAGTTAGACCAGACTATTAACCGAATTGATATGAACGGTTCTCTAATCTATCTATATCACCTAATAATATCACCTTAGCCGTTGTTTTGTTTGACTTCTTCACAGAAACCATTTTGGAGTCGTAATTAAGAAATCGAACGACGAGATTTAAAACGTGAGAGGAGATGGTAGTAGGACCCCAACATAGAGGCCTCCCATAACTATTAACCATATAATAAGACATTTTCTTTTGTTCAATGTGCAGATGGATATAGTATTTAATTGTATACGTTAATTGTTTATACACTCCAAATTTCATATGGGTGTGTCGCATTGAGATCATAATGTGACAAAACAAAGGGACATCCATATTAGTGTAGATGCAAAACAAAGGATCATAACGTATTATATTTTATTAAATAATCTAGTTCTTTGATTGATCATGTCATTCCTGATTATATTAATCATTTAGAATCAAAAGTATGCGAATGATCGAAATCTGACTGGTATGAAAAAATGATTTGGATACGCAAATAAAACTTGTTATGAAGGAGTGTGAGATATCTGCGATTGCTACTGGGTCAAGAGACCAAGCTGAAGGAAACTTCAGCTTCCTACATTTGAGGAACCGTTCCCGCTTACCTGGAACACTTCCACTTCCAACAAAGAAAGGGAAGAAAGTTGTGCCTCATACAAGGAAGAACTTTGTCAACTAGGTTTGCAAGAATAGGTATGGTGAAGAAGAGTGTGTAATCTCTGCTTGGAGCTTCTTTGAATGGTCCTTCTTGGCTGTGATCATGGTGGCTTTTTTTTGCTTATATTTTGCTTATGTTTTGCTTATATTTTACTTATGTTATACTTATTTTTGTTAATTTTTTGAAAATGTAAATTTTAAGAATATCATTTCGTCTCTTTGGCACAAATTATGAGTGTATAATATCATTTCAATAAAATAAATTATACCAATTTGACTTATTTTATTTTTTCTATTATAATTTAATTGTCATAATAATTATCATATATTAATATACTCCCTCCGTTTCTTATTACTTGTCGTTCTAGGAGATTTTACGTAGATTAATAAAATAGACTAAAAATTCTATTTTACCCTTAAAAAGCAAATTGACTATTAGTATTCTTCATTAGATCAAGGTTAAACTAGGTATTTAATATTAAATTTTGTATTGGAAAATGAGAACGACAACTATTTTGAATCAAAAAAATAAGGCTAGAATGACAAGTATTTTGAAACGGAGGGAGTATTAAATAATTTAGTAATACCAATGTAAAATTCCGCGCGAATCATCCCTAGTTATAGATGCATTTCATGCGAAATGTTGAATCCGTCTTCTCTTGTGAGGCTGAGCTATGATAAAAAGTTAAAAAAGAAGAGTCTTGTGGGGTTATTTCAGAATACAGTCGAACTAAAATAACTGAATTTATCTCAGTTAGTTGTCTCTGTGGTATGGCAAATTTTCGGTTTTTGGTTTGGTTAAGTTTCTAACTCAAAAATTATCAAAAATAAAACATGTTGACACGCTACGTTTTACAGAAACATGTAGATAAGTGTTAAGTTAGAAAACGGGCCTTTACTAACTACAATGGGCCCATGACCCTTTTGTACGCCCTATTGCGCTTCTTCTTCTTTTTGCTCTCTCTCTCTCTCTTCTCCGGAGATCGCCTTCACCAATTCCACTGTGAGTCGCACATCAAATCTTCCTGCTTGTTCATATTAGCCTTTGATATAGCAACTTACGTATAGTAAAATCGCATAATTTGTGTGTTTCCTGCATTTCGAGCTTGTTTGATGGAATTTATGTGGGAAATCGATGTCCATACATTTGTTTTAGTTCGATTAGACAATCGACGTGAAGAGCTGGGCTTTCTCTTCATTTAACGAAATCGTTTCTTTCGTTTGATTGATATGCTAATTTAAGCACAATATCAATCTAAAAGCTTCGTCTATAAAAATTCCTGGAGTTGATTTAGCTCTCCTTAATTACCAGTCTGAAGCCTTCCCTTTGATTTTTTTTTGATATAATGGTTATGTTGTTTGATAATCTGTGAGCTCTCCGATTGTTGTTACGTTTCTGATGCTGAATCTATAATTTACATCTTTGGCCTTTCTTCTCTCCAGTGATAGTAGCAGAAACAACTGAAGCACAATGGGGATCATCGAAAGGATCAAAGAAATCGAGGCCGAGATGGCTCGGACGCAGAAGAATAAAGCTACAGGTTCTCTTTACATATACATCATCAGTTTCATGTTGTTCATTCTTAGATGACGAAGTTAGATAGAGGAAACGATAAGATATTGTAGAGTAAACAGATTGCGAACCTCTAGACTACATAATAGATTTGCCAGATAACAACTTTGACAAGTTTCTATTGCTGCTTATATTCTCTTTTTCTGATTAGCTAAAATAAGCAGAATAGCTGTTTGGTAATTGATAATGGTCTACTTGATGAACAGAGTATCATTTGGGTCAGCTCAAGGCAAAGATTGCAAAGCTCAGGACACAGCTGTTGGAGCCTCCAAAGGTAATGCAAGCTCTTTATAAAAGACTAAACAGTTAGCCTATGCATTTATTTCTATATAGCTGAGTGGTTCTTGAAGCTGGTTTCGTTCTTTTCTTACTTGGATCATCTTTATAGTTTTCCCCGCTGTTGTTGTATGTTTACATCTGAGAGAGTGACTGCCTTATTTGTCACCTTAGCTTATCTTCGTAGGACTAAAATTTACTGTACCTGAAGTAGAATTTACTGCTTTAGTTTGTAATTGTCTTCCAAATTTCTTTCACAGGGTGCTAGTGGAGGCGGGGAAGGTTTTGAAGTTACCAAGTACGGTCATGGACGTGTTGCGCTTATAGGATTTCCAAGGTCAAATGTCTTAGATACTTATACTCACGGAAATCAATTTACAAATAGACTCTTATACTTGGGGTTAAGAGAAACTGATGGAAGTGATCTTACTTTGCAGTGTTGGAAAGTCCACCCTTTTGACGATGTTAACTGGAACACATTCTGAAGCAGCCTCGTATGAATTTACAACACTTACATGCATCCCTGGAGTAATTCACTACAATGACACAAAGATCCAGCTTCTCGATCTTCCTGGAATTATTGAAGGTGCTTCGGAAGGAAAGGGGCGAGGAAGGCAGGTTGAAATCTAATCTTTTGCTTTTGTTATTTGTTATCTTGATTTCATTTTGACTGCTCAAGCTAAAGAGATTTGCCCAACTCCTATGTTTCTCGACTATCAGTAATATATAATCAGGATGATACTAACTTTGATGATAACTGCTTATTTCTCAGGTTATTGCTGTTGCAAAGTCTTCCGACCTTGTATTGATGGTTCTTGATGCCTCAAAGGTGAGTTACGGTTTGGCCATCCTTGTGAATTGCTGTTTGGTTGTCATGCTGCACTCATTTATTAATCTTATTTTATGGTGTTCAATTTTTTTTATGAAGAGTGAAGGCCACAGGCAGATATTGACTAAGGAACTTGAGGCAGTGGGCTTGCGGCTAAACAAAAAGCCTCCACAGGTAAAGCTCGTCTTATCAGCGGCGTCAAACTACATATGTTACATCTAATACTTTGAAGTTCGATGCGCTACATTGGGAAAACTTGGTTTCTTGTACCGTTGAATTTGATTTTGTAATTTTCCTGTGTTTTCTCCTCACTAGATATACTTTAAAAAGAAGAAGACTGGTGGAATCTCTTTCAATACTACAGCACCCTTAACTCACATTGACGAGAAGCTCTGTTATCAAATCCTGCATGAGTACAAAATCCACAATGCTGAGGTACGAGATTCCAACTTTAATCCTGTATCATTTCTGCCTCAGACAAGCTTTTTGTGGCTTGTCTTTTCTTGTTAGAGTGTTACAAGTAGATTTATGAAAGTTTACAAAGATTTGTTTGCTGACAGAATTTAGTGGTGAGTGCAGATCCTATTTCGTGAGAACGCCACAGTGGATGACTTTATCGATGTAATTGAAGGCAACCGCAAGTATATTAAGTGTGTTTATGTGTACAACAAAATAGATGTTGTTGGGATAGATGATGTGGATAGACTAGCACGGCAGCCAAATTCCATTGTTATTAGCTGCAATCTAAAGGCAAGTTATATTAGTTATATTACATTGAAGACTAGTTTTACGTCTGCAAGGATGGCAGATGTTAAAACTCTAATTTTCCCGTTCTAGTTTCCTTTCTGAATTTAATGAATATATACTGTACCACTCACTGGTCTAACGCTCAGTGACTGTTGTTGTTTAAAACAGCTAAACTTGGACAGACTACTTGCAAGAATGTGGGACGAAATGGCCCTTGTGAGAGTTTACTCGAAGCCTCAAGGCCAGCAACCAGATTTCGATGAGCCTTTTGTCCTCTCATCTGTAAGTGTTTATTTTTCTCGTTGCAAGATACCCTTTGTCCACGTCAATAGTATTCATCTTTGATTACTTGTGGTGATTGATTCATCAGGATCGAGGTGGCTGCACAGTTGAAGACTTCTGTAACCATGTCCACAGGACTCTGGTGAAGGATATGAAGTATGCCCTTGTGTGGGGCACAAGCGCAAGGCACAATCCTCAGAACTGTGGTCTTTCTCAGCATCTTGAAGACGAAGATGTTGTTCAGGTCGTCAAGAAAAAGGTACATAAGCGAATATCTTTCCATTGACATAGAATGGTCGCTCAAAATCTATGATTTTGATCTTTGTTCCACGATCCGATTAGCTAAACTTATCTTGTTGATTCTGAAATCTTTAGGAGAGAGACGAAGGAGGAAGAGGCCGGTTCAAGTCGCACTCAAACGCTCCTGCGAGAATTGCAGACCGAGAGAAGAAAGCTCCTCTTAAGCAATAAGCTTATTAGCAGATCAGTGATCCACATATACCATCACAGTCATGGGTGGTTCACCTGAGTAAGATTTAATATGTTGTATCTGAATAATTTTTGCATTCTCGCACAATATAAGTTTTCCAACTATTTACGTTTTGATGAATACAAATGGAAGAACAAGTTCTCATATACCCTTTTTTCATAAATTATGTTTTGTTACAAGTCTGTCTTTAACTCTTGAAAGATTCAAGTAATCAAAGAAGTGCATCCATAGTGTTTAACAAACAAGGAAGAACAAAAATCGACTCAGAATCCAAGTTACTGAGAAGTGGCCTAAGTAGCCAAACACTTCAATCTCAAAAAACTCTCGACAATATTCTTATATGTAAATGATACAATGACACAATGAAGCTGTTTCTGTATCTATAGTTCGTGTATATATTTCACAGGAACCGTTCCTGAAACAAGACAGAAAAAGAAACCAACAGGCTGTTGAAAATGACTTGGAAGAGAATCATCATGACTCGTTCTTCTAGCTTCGCTGGCTCTTGGCCCAGAGATGTCTTCCGGTTACGTTCCCCGGTGGATATAGATCAGTGCACTGGTCTGAACCAGCACTGCTTCTTGCATCTCCACTGCAAGATGTTCCTGATTGTCTCTGCTTCGCTTGAGTAGATCGTGTCAGGCTCATGTAGCTTGGCTTTCGGTAGTACCCACCACCTCCAAGAATACTCCCGGGGAATGCAACCGGTGACTGAGATGTAGAGGAGGTTGATGTCTCATCTTGTAAAGAATCCGAACTCGTGCCAGACGAAAACTGAGGAAGTAGAAGGGGAGGTCTGGCAAGAACTCTGGTTGAAGTAAGATTGTTCTTCCTGACTCTTACAGTCTCAAGTTCAGACAATACACTGCTATCACTACTTTTCCTTGAAAATGTCCCGACATCTTCAGACCAGTTCCAACCAGGACTGCTCTTGCTCAATCCTTGATGCTTAATCGCTTTAACATTTGGACTTGGACACGACCTCGACTGCCAAAACAACCAAAACAAACTCATTCAGACATTACTTGCAATCAGCGAAACACTCTGTTCGAAAATAACAAAGACCAACCAACCTGATGTGTGAGAGCATAAACCATAGCTCTTTCCCTCTTTATAGCTCCTTCTTGCTTCATTTGTAACTTTGTTTTCACTTCCCTAACACTTATTGGGCTACCACACCAACCCTTCTACAAAAACATCAAACAGAGACACATATTAGTATTCAGTAGGCTTACTTAAAACTCTCCGAGTTTCGATGGTTTTTAATTTGATCTTTACCTCGGTCTGCTTTACGGGATCTTTCAGCTCAATTGAGTCTGAAGGGGCTCTACGATGAGCTCTAACACGAGACTGGACACGAACAAGAGCTTGCATACACCTGAGTGTAACGGCTGCTTGTTTTCTAACTTGTCTGCCGCGAAATATTGCCTGAATTCTCACTAGAGCCTTCAAAGCTCTAAACGCTTGTCTTGCCTGAACAAGAAAAACAGAGCTTTTGAGATGATAGAATCAGAGACAAAACAAATGAGCAATCAGCAAAGTGACATTACCAGGAAAGCACGAAAAGCAGCCTGGATTCTGGTTGAAGCCCATTCTCGCTTAACCAATAAGAAATCCTTGGGAGGAGCTCGAATGAGAGCTGCCATGGCGACAGTGAAAGCCTCGTCGGCCGAGAACGACGGTGGATCTGACCCTAACGAAGAAAGTCCATAGCTTCCTCGGCTCCTGAGAAAACCTTCCTTTGAGGAAGAAGATGTGAAGCTCTCAGATGAAATCCTCCACAGCTTCCATTTCTTCTTGCTGCTCTTATCACTTAACCTCTCCTGCTGCAATTAAGATAGAACAAATGAGATCCAAAAAACATTCAGTAAAGAGATGGGTTGAGACTTTTTAGGATTACCTGATCATCGACTGGTTTTCTGTGAGATATTAGTGATTTAAGCCAATTTCCTGACCCACCCATCTGCTAAATCGAAACCTTGGCTCGTCGATTCTTCCAAAATCGAAACTTTTTAAGCTATCGATTCACGAATTCGAAGCTTTAGGGCTGTAATGGGGGGGGGAAGAGAGAAATATTGTTTCTTGGAATTGGTTGTGTGTGACTGAGATTGATGTTGACAAAAAGTTCACAGTGTTAAAAAGAAGAAGAGGAAGAGGAAGAGAGAACGTTTGAAATTTGAAAATTTAGGGAACGAAAGCAATTTCTTAAACTAACGGTAAGACTTTAGTTTTTTTTTTCTCTTTATTAGTTTCTAAATATTACGCTAAACCTCCTATTAGTTTGTAATCTTCAATTTTAACCCCACAAGTTTATGCGACACAAATCATTTCCAAATTTCGGGTCGGGTGGGGACGGGTTTCCACTGTAACCGACCGGGAAGTGTTGGTTCCTTCTGTTATTTGATCGGACGGCTCATAATAATAGTACACGTCATCGCATCTCTTACCCAAAAATATATTGGTCTAGAGCAGTGTTTTGAAAACTGGACCGACCCGGTGGTCGAACCGACCATGAACCGGACATGTGACCGGGTTGGGTCTCCGGTCTGATTTAAAAACAATTAATACGATCAACTAATTAATTATTTTATTTTAATTATTTTTATTGTTGATATTTTTTGAGATTATATATATTTATACTATAAATAATTAATTAAAACAATGAAAATATAAGTTTATAATATTATTATATTTATATTTATACTTATATATATCAATTTTTAACTATTTATATTTTTATTTTAAAATTTATATATTTAAAAATAAATATAATTTAAATGTTTTGAACCGGGTTCAAACCGGTCGAACCAGATTGAACCATGACCCGGATGCTTATCCGGTTTGCCTTCCGGTCCGGTTTTAAAAACACTGGTCTAGAGTCTAGACTCAATAAGATCATTTTTTTTTTTTTTTCAATAAGATCATTTCAGTAACGCAAAACACAAGATCCAAGAAGGAATCGGAAGATCGATCATCCATGGCGGAACCGAAACAAAGCTCTCTTCCTGGTAACAATCCGACTCTTTGATGAATAATTAAGTCATCATTTCAACGGATTTAGAGTTTTATCCTTGTTTCGTCATTTATTCGCTTGATCGAATTCATGGTTTCTATATATGTGAGCTTTTGGGTTGTTGGGGTATCTGTGGAAAGATTGCTGATTTGGGCGGAATAGAGAACTATGTTTTGATTTCATTGATCGATTCTGGATTTTATTTTATTTTTGTTGTTCAGAGGAGAAGAAAAGTGTGATTGGAAGAAGCAGTGAAGAATCGAAGGTTCATGAGAAGGAGACACATGGAAGAAGCGAAGACATTGATGAGAAGACGAGAGTGGATGATGTGAAAGGACCTGGTGTCATCCATCGTATGAAGGAAGAGATTGAAGCCGTTGTCGACGCTGTTACTCCTAATAAAACTTCCGACAAGTGAAATATCCGGACACGAACTATGTAACCAAATCCTTTTGCTTAATAAAGACACGAACTCAAACTCTTGACAAAACCATATATATCATCTTTGAGAGAAATTGCGTATGTAATCTATCCAACCTTGAGTTTTAAAACTGTTTCTGATCAGGTCATGCTATTGTAGTCTTACTAAGAAGAAGACAATGTGTCCAAGCTTGAGTGTATAACTTATAAGGACTATGAAATTGCCAATACTGTGTTAACAATTGTAAATTACAGTTCATCATGCTAATTAATGATTGCTATTGGAATATAGATATTACAGCTGCTGAGTAAATTAATAATATCAACTTTGTTTTCTCTAATTTCAGTTTTCATGGGTTGCAATAATTGAACGTAAAACACACGACGAGATAAAGGAAATATGCACACACAAAAAGCAAGCACGTCGTAATAATAATTCAAGAGAAAAATACGCCCACTCGATTGAATCTTTGGTGTTGGAAAGTAAAAGAGAAGAGAGTGACATGGAAACTTTTAAAGACTGGCAAAATACCCCAAATGAAACACATCTCTTTTCTTTTGTTTGCTAGATTTGTCTTAATTCTCTTGTCATGTCAATTGTGATGTATTTTTGCTTTGTGCATGTGTGTTTTGGATATTTGAACATTCCCCTCACAATCAATCACCTAAAACAAAGTCAACAATTGTCACCATTATCACATTTATTTAAAAGAAAATTGGTCCATTACCTTCTTTTAATGTTGTTTTTGCCTTTTTTTTTTATTGATGATGAGTGCAATGATATACTTCCCAACTTGAACATTCTTTTTCAACTTGCTTTATTTCTGACCAAAATTTGCTTAAATAATGCTATTTTTTTTCTTTATTTATGCTTTTATTTTTCACCAAAGTTGTTGATTTTTTTGAAAAGTTTTTTTTTTAAAACAAAATATCCAATTGATCCTAAGTTTTATTTAAATCGTTTGTTATTAAAACTATAAATATTTGAGTTAATATGTTTTATGATGTTGAAAATAGTGTTTTGGATGACCACTCACTTAGTCTTTTGGATGTGCATCGAGTCTTATCAACAGAACATGAAGAAGCCAGACAATGAGTCTCACAACTACTCCACAGCAATGTCTCGATCCCACCAGCATAAGAAGAAACAACTCCAACTCCAGCATAAACAACCCTGCAACTTGCTTGTGGCGCAGGGAACTTACAGAGATTGTTAGAAGCATTGCCACCATGATCACAGCCAAGAGCGACCATTCAAAGAAGTTCCAAGCAGAGATTGCACACTCTTTTTCACCAAACCTATTCTTGCAAACCCAGTTGACAAAGTTCTTCCTTGCATGAGGCACAACTTTCTGTAAGCAGGAATGGTTCCTCAAATGTAGGAAGCTGATATTATACACTCATAATTTGTCAACAGACGAAATGATATTCTTAAAATTTACATTTTCAAAAAAATAACAAAAATAAGTATAACATAAGTAAAATATAAGCAAAACATAAACAAAATATAAGCAAAATTAAAAGAAGCCCTAAATCACATCACTAAAATAAATGTAGGAAGCTGAAGTTTCACACTCCTTCATAACTCTACTATCACTAGCTCTATGCAAAAACCTCTAGTCTAGATTCCTCCAAATCCTATCCAACTTTTCCACCAAGGAAAGATGTAAAGTTTACTCCGAAATCAGCAACGTCCACAATATATCTTGACAATAACCAATTGCTGTAGTTTGTTACTTTCATGGTTTGGTTCGATTATTGTAATAGGTTTTATTTGCGTATCCAAATCATTTTTCCATACCAGTCAGATTTCGATCATACGCATACTTTTGATTCCAAATGATTAATATAATCAGGAATGACATGATCAATCAAAGAACTAGATTATTTAATAAAAATATAATACGTTATGATCCTTTGTTTTGCATCTACACTAATATGGATGTCCCTTTGTTTTGTCACATTATGATCTCAATGCGACACACCCATATGAAATTTGGAGTGTATAAACAATTAACGTATACAATTAAATACTATGTCCATCTGCACATTGAACAAAAGAAAATGTCTTATTATATGGTTAATAGTTATGGGAGGCCTCTACGTTGGGGTCCTACTACCATCTCCTCTCACGTTTTAAATCTCGTCATTCGGTTTCTTAATTACGACTCCAAAATGGTTTCTGTGAAGAAGTCAAACAAAACAACGGATAAGGTGATATTATTAGGTGAAAAAGCATTTCTCCTTAATTACAGCGGGTTGTCTGAATCATGTGCACCTTATCTTATCTGTTCAAATCGGAAACAATATCGGCGTCATTATTAGGACACTAATATTTCGTCAATAATTATAATGTTTATGCCGTATTTTTGGAGTATATATTTACCTTATTGTTGTTTGAATTGATACACTATCTTAAATGAAAACTAATAACTACATTGTCATTTTTATGAAATTGTGGATAGATGAAAACAATAACCTTTTATAGCTACCGATTAGCTTGATATACTGCCAAATCGTAGATGCAAATCAAATCCATTAATTCTTTTAAGTAAGGTCGATCGAAGAATAGTGCAAAGTAGGTCAATATTGTGCACGGGAAAAGGAAGCACAGAGTGATGGGCGAAAAACTCGATAAAGGTCCATGGAATCATGGATGTGATCCCCATGTGATTATCCTTTAAACCCAAGTTTACTTTAAGTAAATATTTTAGCAAACAAAAAAGTAAACTTAAAATATGTATGTAGTTGTATCAAATATGAAATATCCAAGATATATATAACCACCATTCCCTTTGACATATACACACACCTATTATTTTTGAAGGAATCATCCATTTACCTCCAAGAAAATTTTGACGTTGGAGTTATGAAAATTGTAGGTTTTCTTTTCTCGAATTTCTGTCATTTCTCTTACTTATATGCTTATTTTTCATTGCTCTATGTTGTACTCAAGGATAAAAGATTTCATTAGAAAAATCCATTTATAGATAAAAGATAAAGATAATAGAACATGATGTGGATTAGAGATATTTTGAGCCATGCTTGATTTGGCAAGTGGCAGTCTTTTTAGCTATTTCTTCATTCAATTTGTCCATACACTTTCTGTTTGGATGTCACACCAGGCACTGTCACGTCTCCATCCATCATCATACTTTCGTATAGTGTAATACCATTTCAAAATGTAAATTTGGGACCAGATCAATATATTTGGTTACAAGACTGTATTTATGTGCGAATACACATGACCAATAAAGAAACACCCTTGGACCATGGACGAAGTTCTTTGATATTAGTATATGTATAATTAATAATGTTCAATTTATCAGTTTTTCATATTCTTACAAATGTTATCAAGAAAAGACCGGTTCGGATTGGTTCAATCCACTTCTCCGCGATCTCGCTTCGTAAAACACGTCATCATCTTTCATGGCTAATACATGAATCCAAAAACAAAACACTGATCTTTCTTTAGTGGGAAGAGGTAAACAATAATAATCTTACAATACTGCCCAAAATCCTAGTAATAATGAAAACAAAACTTTTCAAACCATTTAAAAACCAATAATAAAGCGTTGTCGACAAGTGAATGATTTAAAATAAAGTAAATCACTGCAATACTCATTCTTTGAAAAATAAAATAAAATTATGAGCATGGAAGAAGTAATTAAATGAAAAAAAGAAGATAATGAGCTCTCCATTTACAAAAAGTTCAATACTCATTCTTCCAAAATAAAATAAAATTATGTATTCAAAGTTCAAACTCAGTCCATTTGATCACGATTTACCATTTCTCTCCAAATTGTATTACCTTTTCAGCTAAATTACAATTTGTTGATCATTTCTTTGCTTTTTTAAGTTCAGTGGCGACTTTTTTTTTCTTCTTAATTTGGTTTTGGTTAGAGAGTGTATCTACAAAATAATATAGACAGAAAAGAAAGAAATAAAACCATTTATCGTTAATTGAAGTAAATTAGAAATCACAGTCGAAGAGAGAGAGGAAGACGAAGAAGACGAGGAAGAAGCAACCACGAAAGATCTTTGCACTGGTTCCGATTTTCTAGTCTTCGCAATAAAGTAAAAGCGAGTGAAAACCAAACAGAGAACAAATCTGTGTCCTTTCTCTAAAACCCCATTTGGCCATTTCTCTGGACAAAACTTGAGAAATTCAAATCATCTGAGAGAGAGAGACAAAGAAAGTTGCTTCATTTTTTGCGTCTTGATCTGTCATTGCCTGTCAAGTTCTCGGCTCATAATCAGCTTCTTGCTGCAATGAGCTTATGTTAATTGGAATTTGACTCTCTCTGCTCGGTAATTTCCTGGCTCTACCCAGATTTGGCTGTTTTCTCCGAGAGCAGGATCTCAACTTCTTTGAGCCAAACTTCTTTGTTTTATGACTCTCTGATGTGCTTGACTAGTTTCTGGTTTTGAAGATCTTCCCTAACCTTTCTTTTCTGCATTTCCTTTGTTTTTTCTTGATCGGTCTCTGTTGGAATTTCTCCGATCAATCGGAATTTCCAAGCGATTTGTTGATTTTTTATTTTCTTGTAAGTAAAAGAGGCAAATGCGTTTGAATTTAAAGTTTGAATTTTTTTTCCTTTCCAGTTTTCTTTGTAGATTTTGAAATCCAAAATGTTAATCGATTCATTTGGTCCGTTAAATCATACAGATGCAAAATTATTGAATTTTCTCTTTCAAATGTATGATTTTTGTTCGCAAAAATTTATATTCCATTGAAAAGATCGAAACTTTATGTCATGGAAATCTAATTGTGTATTGGATTTCACTTCTGCACAGACCAACATTTACTGGGAATATGAGTCATTGAGATTCTTGATGAAGAAGAAGAGTTCTTGACAAAGTCTCTGCACCTGTTCTTGAGTTTGAAGCAGTCGAGGGAATGGCAAGAGGTAGGATAAGGTCAAAGCTGAGACTGAGCCTCATATACACATTTGGATGTCTAAGGCCAAGCGCAGACGAAGGTCAAGATCCTCATCC